ATCATCATCATCATCATCATCATCATCATCATCATCATCAGCGTCGATAACCATTCGCAGCAATCTCAGTTTAGAGCACTGGCGTTTTGCAGATTTTGCATCCCTTTGGCTCGGAAGCGCACGTGTGACACCCTCAGGGCTTCACATAGCAGGTCAATCGGCATATGGTCCTTGCATTCGTTGACAGAGGACTAACAAAGCCGCACTTCTGTTTTAGTGACACGAAGCTATGGAACTCTGCGTGCTCAGGACTCCATCGATCTTTGTTACTTAAACATTGGCAATCGAGTTAGTCAAAAATTGGGCTTGCCGAGAACCGGTTACCCTCGAATCCTGCACCATTGCACCACTATCGATTAGGCTGCTACCTCATTTCAAACTTGGGCCCATCCGCAGGTGACACAAAACATGCTTAAAAAATGAGTGACTTCCTGTAAAAGGTCAAACAATCATTAACGGCGTTGTTGGATTGACAGACCACAGCTTTTATTGTTTGAGATCCGGGAACAGGCAGGTGCAAAGCGGAAAAGCGTTTTTTTCAACTCTCGTCAGATGGGCAAACACTTTGTAGAAGTAAATATCTACGTGATGATCATAAAGGCTGATTCATTAGTTGAAAAACAATTCACGCGAATGATGTTCACAACTTCTTGTCTGTTAGGACTAAACCTCAGTTTTTAGCTTGTCCGCTTACTGTTTTAACGATTCACACCGATTCACGCTGATTGAGAACAACTCATTCGCCGCTTCTCGTCACAGAGAATTTCGCTCACCCCAGATGAATATATTTGATTAGAAATCGTGGATCAATACACGTCCCAGAATCACAGGCCTAGAACTCTGCTCACCCCGGGGTTGTGTGGAACAATAAACCGGTTGAAAAAAAACGTGTTGTTTGTTTCGATCGATCAGTCGGAATCCCCAAGGCAGGAAGTAATTCGGTCTCCGCAAAACTGTTTCACACTTCGCGTCCAAAAACTCAGCTTATGCTTTCGAAGTGGCACATGGTTGAACTTCTAAAAAAAGAAAGGTTTAAGAAGCGAACATTACTCAGATATATCCATTAAATGTGACCAGATAGCATTCATTCTTGAGGATTCACAACCATCGCCGGAACATTCTAAAACGTTTGATAAGATGGACAACTTTCCGGGGCGATATATTTTTTTATAGTTTTTATCGCTTTTTTGGAGCAAACTAATTCTACATGTAGAGTAGTAGACTACTTTCAAAATGTCCGTGAGTAGTATTTTAGGAGGACGAATAGTTTGCGGTAAGTGTGGAAGCTTCAGTTGAGAAGTCTTCAATCGAAGAGTCAGTCAACATGTGAAGGCTGAAGGATGAGAAGCGTTGTATCTTGTCTAAAGAGCGATTCAGTCATATTGCTCATCAGTCACTTGTGGCAAAATGGTTGAGCGTTCAAACTACTAATGTAACCATGATACTACTGATGGAGAGGCACGCGAGTAGTATGCTTTGTTCTTGTAAATTCGCTTTACGCCTCTTGAAAAAGGAGATCTGTTGCGGACGTCGTGGGTTCGCTCTGTAGCATTTGCTTGGATTTGAGCAACAGTCAATGAATATCCAGGAAAGTTCAAGAAGACGCGTTCAGGAGAAGATGGATGTTCATTTTTTTGTAAATAAAGGACAAATGAGAGTCTTGCTTCCCTGTTCAGTGGTCTGTAGCTGGTCAGTTCGCATTTTCTAATAAATAACTCCGCAGCGCAGCGACTTTCCAGCATAGATCGGTCTCACTGGAGGGACAAATTCCCAATTGAAAACGTTGATTACGTATTTACCGAGTAGTATCTCAGACTCATATTGGCGACCTGTCTCAGCTTTGTTGAATCTATGAAACTCCCAAAAAGAAACAATTTAAGTGATTTTGTTCATCACTCTTCGAAGAAAAAACCAGTCTCTTCAATGTGCAAAAAATGAACCAATCAAATTCGTTTTTTAATCAATCCCAATAAAAAAAGGTCCACTGACCTACATCATCTGTCCTAAGTAGGCAAATCCGCTGAAAGAACTGCTTTGATACGTAATTTCATTTTACTATTTGCCATGTAATTTGTCATAAAATTCAAAAATTCCTTCAAACATTCGAAGGAGTGCATCGAATTTATTGTCAATATGTTGGAGAGTAAGCCACAAGATTTCCCCTCACCCCCAAAGTCCATTCCTCTTCGTTAAAAGCTGCTGAGTGATTCTTATATGATGAAGGAGATGCCAACTAAACGTGTTTCAAGGAATCCATTCTTTGACCCCCCATATATATGTGTATGTAATAGAAGGAACTATCTAAGGTCTTGGGCAGCACTCAAGCAGAGTCGGATGGCCTGAACCAGAATATTGATCAGTGGAACCCCTACAAGTGATCCCTTCATCAGTAATTAGTTGTGGCGCCCACCTATCAAGGGGTGTGGGCATGAGAGTTAGTTCCATAGCAAACTGTTCACCGCTTGTGAGTGTTCGTCGATTAGACAGCTGTTACTCACAGGAAACTTCACAATGAGGTCACTGTAATTCGCTTGATCGATCGGGATCAAGTGGTCAGTCGGCGTTCACAACAGTGTACCGATTGAAAGGTAGTCCTTCCAAGGTTTGTTACTCACAGGAAACTTCACAATGAGGTTACTGTAATATGCTTGATCGATCGGGATCAAGCGGTCAGTCGGCGTTCAGAACAGTGTACCGATTGAAAGGCAATCCTTCCAAGGTCGCAACGTCGGAGGCCAGTACAGGTGAATTCGTGTCACAGAAACGTTCCCTGACAGTTTGTACCAAGTGCCGTTTTCAACTCATGCAGGTATTTTAACCAGGTAGTTCTACTTGTCACTCCACTTACCGATGAAGGGAAAAAGGCCTCCGATGAGGAGTTATTTATTAAAAAAAACACCAACTGAACAGCTACAGACTATTGGACAGGTAAGCAAAACTCACACTTGCATATTGTTTGTAAAAACTGAGTATCTCGAACGCGTCTTCCTGAACTTTCTTGGGTATTGATTTACTAGCAGTCGAATGCAAAAGAATGCTAACAAGCAATCCCACAAATTCCGTAATAAATCCCACTTTCTAATAGACGCAAAGTGGAGTTACGGGGAAACATACTACTCGCATGCCTCATCAGTAGTATTCACCCATACACCGATAGACACTTTAATAAAAACGATTATATGCATTATCAGGCGCCACCAATAGGACGATGTGTGCCAGACGGACCAAAGGTTTCCGCCCATACAGGTGCCCGAGACACTGGCTTAGTCTCTCACTACTTCGGACGGATGGAGACTGACAACACCAAAGCAGTTTGACATAATTCTCTCGGACACGAGCTTCTTGGGTAAGCAGGCGAATCACAAAACCTAAGATTTCGGCCACTGTAGCGCAACTATGTATTATTCGACAAACGATCTGAAACGCCAAAATGCTCTCTCTCTCGCTTGTTCTGTGGCTGTTCAACCACAATCTGTCTAAGCAGATCGGAAAGCACTGTCCTAATTAGCCGTTTTTATGCAAATCGAGTTAACAAGGCACGTTTCCTAATCTGTTTGATTCGAGCATCCGAGAAATTCCGCTTTATTCTACTGATTTTCTAGAGGAGGACATACTACTCACAAGGTTGCTGAAAAATGTTTGACAAGCCGCGATTAGTTTCACCATTTTGATTGGTAGGCGCTGTCCTCGACCTTGAATCAACCTTATGTCCTGCTTGGAGACGCTATTGCCGAGACGCACAAAGGTCGAATCACGCAGTTTTGGATGGATGGCTTACCCTCTGTTGACTTTTATAACCGTTCACATATTTTCGTAATAAATAGGGTCTCCTATCAAAATGAATCATTTATCACTTAGCTGTCCGGAATTATAACATTACCCGAAGGTTTGATGTCGTGAAAATTGAATTTAAAACTGATTCAAATGAGTGTTGAAGCGTTTTTTTTGAGACCATCAGTCACACAAGCTCTGTTGCCGGGTGGGTTTGTCTACAGATCTAACTGCAGATATACCCCCACAAGGTAAGGGACTGACATCGAGGGTGCTTCACAGTTTGAACTGTCTCTTGTGACAACCTCCGGCGCGCTTGTCAAGATAAACCTATGAGGAGGCTCAGCATTCGCTGAATTGCTCTCAGATCGGCAGAACGAATGGCGACTGATTTCGCAGTTGGGTGGGCGTGATATTTAAAAAACGCAAGGTGTTGACTTGAACGCGATGTATTTGATTTGTTTTGTCATACCACTGATTGCAGCTTGACATGCGAGTGCAGAATTTAGTCGGAAAAAAATCGCAAGCTGACTTGCCAGAACGAATAATTTCACAATTGCTCACGAAGTCGCTTTTCCATATAGGGCAGACCGGTCTGGTCGACAGGACGCCTCACCCACGCCAACGCCTGCGCATCGGCGCATCGCTGAAATACGATGTAAGCTTACTTAACTGCACAGTGTTCATGTCACTAGAACTGGCGATGAATAGTTGACAATAAAATCGTCGGTGAACTATCAACATAACAAGCTGCTTTGTTTGAAAAAATCACAGCTTACCAAGGCGAGGAATGCGTGAGAACTGCCTCTTATATTTAGTTCACAGTTTGAAAGTTTCGAAGGTAACTTCACTGTCGAATCGGAGTGTGATTGGTCAGATCTCAGGATGTAAAACCTATCGGTCCAATAGGATTTGAAACTACTGGCTATTGAGTAGATTAGTTGGATCGGAGCTAACCAATCACATCGCTCAGACATCCGGTCAACCAATCACATCGCCCAAACGCTTTCAGACGCGATAAGTGATGTGTTAAGCTTACTTCGTTGAGGTTCGAATGTCAGATGCCCGGAGTTCATGACACCGCACAGCCAATGATGTGTACTGTCGAAGGGCTCTAATAAGAACGGAAGTCAAGGTCAATAACCCTTCCAAGACATCACGAGGACAGTTCAGACAGTTTTAGAACAAGATGTATAACTAACTGGATTTTATTCGGGAAGATTGGTGTAGAACTGTAGAAAATCCCGTGGAAGGCCACCGCAGTATGTCAGACTTTCAGGATCTTTCAAATGAACCTCACATTCGGATGGCGAACGCCTTTAATCGAAACTGTTACTTCTAATTGGTCTATATCTGAGGTTTACAGGAGAAGGGAGGGGAAATGGCTTTTGGTTCAGTTCCAAGCACCCAGTTTGCTTTTTATTACCTGTGCGCTTGAAAATCCATAAATTCGAGGCATACTAAGTTTAATAGTCAAGATCGTTGAACTACTAAAGTGCTCTAAGCCATCAGAACAGTTTTCTGCGATTGATACTTGTATGTAAAATCGAGGACGTATCCTCAAACACCAAGCGTGCCGCCGAAATCTCAATTTGTCAGGCCACATTTCTGATTTGAAAAACGATGGGAAGGTCGGTGGAATTAGCTCTGAAGCTTACTTAAAACTCTGTCAAGACTCTTGAAGTGTATCCTGCTGTCGAAATAGCATTTACGGGTAAGTGGCGCCTAGAAACTGGGACAGAAACCTTGCTAGACAATTAAACCGCTCGCGGACAGACGGATTTTATCACGCCTGATCAAGGACACTTTCACGGCAGCGAAGCAACGGTGTCATGCCGTCGACGATGATAATGATGATGATGATGATGATGATGATGATGATGATGATGATGATGATGATGATGATGATGATGACGATTATGATGGTGATGATGATGGTTCGGATGATGATGATGATGATGATGATGATGAGGAGGAGGAGGAGGAGGAGGAGGAGGATGCTGATGATGTGGATGATGAAGAGGATGCAGATGATGTTGATGATGATGGTTCGGATGATGATGATGATGATGAAACGGTTGGGACGCGCTGAATGAACCTTATTGATGAAATGCCTGTTGCAGTGACCAGGTCAGATACGAACTTTCATCGCTTTTTCTGCGTTGTTGAGCTTGGATCAGGTGAACACTAACGTTGCAGAATCCTGCTCAAAAAAGCTTCTGCATGCCTGAACAAATTGCGTAACCCATATCGTCAACGACAAGGTCCGTCTGCTTGGATCAACGGACTACAAGATATAAAACAGAACCAAGACAAGACCACTGCTTTTTGTGTTGGTGAAGGCTTTCAGTGCACAAAACTACAATGGACTTGAAAGTGGACCATCTTCAAATTCGCTTGACGTCAGAACCCGCTTGGATGAAACAGAAACTCAACAATTTTTACCCCTTAATTAGTATTCACTGGTAAAAATCACGAAGTCGCTTTGTTTTGCTCGGCAAAACTCCACTCTATTCTGCTTGTGAGTAATCGATCGAGAATGAATATTTATGGCTGTCGTAGAAAGAGTAACAAGGAAACCGATGATTCGAATTGGTAGCCTCTGAACGTGAGGAGTTATACTCAGCATCAATTACAGCGTTCTGGCGACATTTTGCTCAGTGGTGAAAGCCCATTGGGTAAATGTAGCACCTACATCCGTAGACAGAAAGTTTTAGTTTCCCACCCGTACTCTCTCCTTGTCACCTCTTTCAGTGCCGTAACAAATGTTTATTTGATCCCCTCGCTCTAAAAATGTGACAGGAATGCGACTGTGTACGCACAAAGTGCAAAGAGAGGGCACTTTACGACAAAAGGAATTGGGCGTACTTTTGTCAACAAATTCTTCCTGGTGAGTGAATGGCACAGATGTTTAGCAAGAAACAACTGTCGACGTAGGCAAGTCAGATATCACGCGCCCAATGATCGTTTTTTCGAAGTTACGCTAACGTCATGTGCGATTTGACCGTGACAAAACATGAATTTGAAGGGCTTAAGATTCGATCGCTCCCGGGGCAGTTACTTCATCAATCCAAGACGAATACAAATAAAGGCTTAGTGGTCAAACTACTGTTTGGGGGTTGGGGAGAATTTTTGGTCTAAAAAACTAGTAAAATTATGTTTTGTTACATTGTCACATGCGTTTGGTCGTGTTGATACTTTTAGTAGGTACGTACTTGCGGCATTGCCTGCACGCATCTGTGCAGACGTCCGAGTAAGGCACAAGTGTGTACGCACGGAGGCATGCACGTCAGCACGCATAATGACTCCTACAAATGCACTTACGCACCACGTGCGAGCCAACGCGCGATGTGCGTGCCTACCCATGATGTGCGCACGAATGCACGCACGGCAGCACCCCACTTACAGCCATCTCTGGGCGTCCAATCAGATCACACCCGAACATCTGCTGCAATCAGCGCTACAAACATGCTTCAGTGAGACGCTTTACCCGAAACGTGAAGCAACTGATGTTCCGGTGGTCACTGCACTCCCCCAGGAAAATTGACGCGCGTCATTTAAACTCAGTTCAAAAGCCTGATGGCTGAAAAAGACTTCAGGCTTGTCTGGGCCTAGAAACAAGTATCGCAACTAACTTCGTAATCAGGAGCTCCACTCATAAACCTGTGGATAGCGAGTTATTTGAAACAGTGATTGAATTCCGCTTTTTGGGTCTGGGACACCTTGATGGAGTATTCCTCCTGAGTGTCAGATTTTCTCAGTTTGTGTGCAGTAAGTGGTACCGGGACAATTGGGTTGAGTCGGTCAAACTTCGTAATCAGGAGCTCCACTCATAAACCTGTGGATAGCGAGTTATTTGAAACAGTGATTGAATTCCGCTTTTTGGGTCTGGGACACCTTGATGGAGTATTCCTCCTGAGTGTCAGATTTTCTCAGTTTGTGTGCGGTAAGTGGTACCGGGACAATTGGGTTGGAGTCGGTCAGGGGGGAGCTGGTTAAGTCAACATTATTATGCTCGGGTTTGTACTTTTAAACGATGGAAGTCCCACTGGTAACCGCAAACCGCCTCATATCATCTCGGCTGATCTAAAATTTTTCTCCAAACGTTTGCCAGTTCTACGCCATCCAATGCATAAAGTCTAGCAATTTCCACCTCCCGGGTCGCCGGTCGTTTTGGTGGCTTTGTTTCACAGATTCCATCCTTCCCAAATATGTTCTTTGCTCAGCATCTGGTACATGCTTTGCCGCTGCCGAGTCCTTGACTCTCTCCAACAATCGAGAACTTCGGACTGACATCAAACACTGGTCAAGTCGGCTAGTTGTCAGGATTCTCCTCGACTGACTGCCTTAAAACTCGGTCAACCTGGTAACTTATTCCAATGGTATGACGGAACTTTTGTGTTAGCTGATTGTTTACTAAACCGTTCTGAAACGATGACTACTCAGTGTGTCCGGAACACCTCCCAACTGAATGGTGTACAGATCTTTATGACGGTGCGGTGCGTTGGAAACCAGTACCGTTTTGGTTCCACATCGCGGCATCAGATATTGGCCATTAAAAGTCAACTTTGGACAAATTTAACTCTGGGAAAATGAAGCAAGAAGAAGGAAGAAGTTTTCAAAATTGTTTGTGACATCTGACGTCGACAGTCGGACTGGTAACCAACTGGTATCCGTGGATTACTGTGGGGCAATTTCCTGGGGCTTAATAGAAATTTCAGAGGTTCGATTAATCCTTTAACGCGGTACCACTGAGTATCTAGTCCCCTTTACCAGCCCACCGTAATCAACCAGGTATTTCGCCGTATCGTTTAATCCGTTTCTCACAGTTCTTTCTTGCTTTGATTACCTCCTTTACTATCCATACCGACCTATCCCATTACGAAGTTATTTATTAGAAAATGCCAACTGACCAGTTACAGACCATTGGACAGGGAAGCAAAACTCTCATTTGCATCTTATTTACAAAAACTGGACATCCGTCTTCTCCTGAACGCGTCTTCTTAAACTTTCCTGGATATTCATTAACTCCTATCATTCATCGCTCAAATCCAGGCAAATGCTACAAAGCGACTCCACAAATTCCACAACAGATCTCCCGTTTTCAAGAGATGCAAAGCGAAATTCCACGAACAACACATACTGCTCGCGTGCCTCCTCATCAGTAGTACCACCGTTACACCAGTTGTGCCACGCCGTCGTCTTCGCCTCTCCCCCCTGAGGCAAGAAATTGCACGCTAGCGATGGTCTGAAAGAACCGGGTTGGTTGCCATGGTGCTTAGAAGAGGGCCTCAAAACAGGTTCGACCTTACCACACTAATGACGTGGTCATTGAAGGTAAACGCCTTTCGTTTTAAAGCATTTGAAACTGAGCTGACATTTGGAAGGTTACATAGCATCTTGGAAGAAAAGTATTCTTGGGCAGTAGGTTTACGCAAACTAGACATTTCCCGTATTTCGATTCGCTGCCCACAAAAACCCTAAATATTTATAATATGATGTTCTAACTGTACAGTAGTAATGATAGAATCGAATGTGATACGGCCTTCCAGAGATGGATTTGAACATGCCTTGTCTCAACAAATGCACTCATTTGCATATCAACTTGGTTTTCAGGAAAGACTCCGCGAGGGCCGCCTCAGTTGGTACGATATTCGAGGTATCGCAGATATCGTAAACTTGGGGACTGCGTCTGCCTGATGAGCCCGAAGTGGAAGGGCGGAATTGGTCGTGGGCTGTCGGAGAGTTTTCAGCAACCTTGTGAGTAGTTTCCTTTATGAAATGATACTGTGATATCTCGAATATCGTGCCAACTGAATCATGGGGCGGCTTGTGCGCAGCACATTCAGCTGGAGAACATGATAAACGAGAGATTCAATTGAGTCTCTCGTGAAAACCGAATTGATTTGCAAATGAGTGTATTACTCGAAAACAGTCCAATTTGGGCTCAAGTAGAACACAATGTTAATGGAAACTTGGGGACCGCGTCTGTCTAATGAGCCTCAAGAAGGGCGAAACGGGTCGTGAGCTGTCGAAGAGATTTCAGCAGCCTTGTCAGTAGTATACTGCTCCTGTGGTTCACCGGTGTGCATTCGTCATTTCATAATTTGACAAAAAATAAATTAAAACGACTGCTCACATCAGGCAGACAAATGTCTCGCAGCTAAAACCACAAAATCGATTTTTCATTTTTGAATTCTAGGTGAACCAGCCTAATAGTGCTCTCGTTAGGGAACCCAATGGTGCTTCACATCAACTGCCTCACGTTTCAGTTGGTACGATGTCCAAGATATTGTAGGACACTTCTCTATACTACTTATAAGCAACCTTGCCCATTAACAGCGGCTGAATTTCCAAATGAGTCCACTTCGCCGGTCGCATGCATTCGTGCGCTCATTAGATTGAGGGAACTCCGGCACTTTCACCTGTCTAGTGAGACACAACTGGGGCAAAGTCGGTCGTGAACTGTCGCGGAAGAGTATGGCCGAATGTAGCGAACCCAACTTGATCCACCTGGTCAGATCAACACGTTCATAACGAGAATCTGGTGTCACCTTGATGACACAGTTACCAAATATAGAAAAGTACTTGTGAAAATCAGTGCCATGGCTGCTCGCTCCCCGAAAGCGCTGGTGGAAACGAAGGTCTAAGAAGTGGAGAAAGCCTTCATAAAGAGAACCAATCGCGCTTGATCCAAGCTAATCCGATCACCCTGTCCGGATATTGGTGAACGAACCTCTGTGAAGGGGTAACGTCGTTTTGAAGGATGGGCTGAACACTTCGTAGAGCAGTTTGCCCACGGTCCTGGAAGAGAAAAGCCTCTTTACTTTGGGTACAGCAGATGAAGGAAGGAGTGGTCATACAGAAGTTTGGCGGATGAAAACTCGTCACAAAGTGAGTTTTGCGAGCCACCAAGTTTGATATTTGGTAACCTCGCAAAGAAAACTGAAAAAATAGGTACCCATCAATGTGATATAATCGCCTCGTTGTATCTCTACACAAAGTGGTGTCCGTCAGGGATGCACAATTTCCCCATTCCTTTTCAACTTTGTGATCGATGAAATAATGTGACGAACGCTGAAGGGTCTCCAA